ACGACTTTAATGCCAGAAGACCACAAGGGAGAATTTTTGCTCACAAGACTCCACGGCTTAGAGGGAGCATTGGTTGCCAGATATGAGCTGGAAAATACCTGGAGACTTTGGGGGGGGGGATCCAGGAGAGGGCGGGGTTTGGGGAGGGGCGGGACCTCAGCATGGTACAGCAACATCGAGTCCACCCTTCAAAGCAGCCCCTTTCTCCCGGGGAGCTGATCTCTGTCAGCTGGAGATCAGTTTTAAAAGCGGGAGATCTCCAGGCCACACCTGGAGGCTGGCAACTGTAGTGGCCACGTGTGCAAAGCAGCTGTCCCTGCTTGGCTAGTCTTGCAGAGGGCTGAAGACTGGGGGAAGCAGTTGCCCTTGGCTACCAGTGTCCTTGCCTGCCAGGACAGGGCAAGGAGGCACCAGGGTGCCAACTTGCTTGAAGCGCAGCAATCCACAAAGCCCCCCCCCAACCATTAGGACTAATTAGAGCCAGTTTGGTGTAGTGATGAAGTGCGCAGACTCTAATCTGGGAGAACCGGGTTTGATTCCCCACTCCTCCACTTGCACCTGGCTGGATGACCTTGGGCAAGCCCTAGTTCTGTCAGAAGGGGGGGGGAAGGACTCACAAGGACAGTTCTGGAAAGAGCTCTCTCAGCCCCACCTCCCTCCCAGGGTGTCTGTTGTGGGGAGGGGAAGGGAAAAGTCTCCTTTGGGCAGTGAAGGGCAGGGTATAAATCCAATCTCCTCTTCTTCTTCTTCTTCAAGAGGAGTTTCTGTCAAGAGCTCTCTCTGCCCCACCTGCCTCACAGGGTGTCCATGGTGGGGAGGGGAAGGGAAAGGAGATTGTGAGCTACTCTGAGACTCCTTTGGGTAGTGAAGGGCGGGGTATAAATCCAATCTCTTCTTCTTCTTCTACCTCACAGGGTGTCTATTGTGGGGAGGGGAAGGGAAAGGAGTCTGTAAGCCGCTCTGAGACTCCCTTGGGTAGTGAAGGATGGGGTATAAATCCAATCTCCTCTTTTTCTTCAAGGGCAGTTCTTGAGAGAGCTCTCTGAGCCCCGCCTACCTCACAGGGTGTCTGTTGTGGGGAGGGGAAGGAGTTTGTAAGCCGCTCTGAGACACCTTTGGGTAGTGAAGGGCGGGGTATAAATCCAGTCTCCTCCTCCTCTTCTTCTTCTTCACAGGGTGTCTGTATTGGGGAGGGGAAGGGAAAGGAGTTTGTAAGCCGCTCTGAGACTCCTTCGGGTAGGGAAGGGCAGGGTATGAATCCAATCATGATTTGGATTCACTACCCAAGGGAAAGGAGTTTGTAAGCTGCTCTGAGACTCCCTTGGGTAGTGAAGGGCGGGGTATAAATCCAAATCTCTTCTTCTCTTCTATGGGGGGGGGGAGAGGTAAATGAGGCTCAGAAAGGGGGCCATCATGAGCAAAAAAAAGAAAGGTCGAGAACTGCTGTCGTAGGTGATAATTAATAGCTCCAGTTGAACCGGCTGGGCAGCCAGTGGAGTGACTGCAGGATGGGTGCAATATGGCTCCCCCTGGGCATCAGAGATAACGACCAGCTCTTGGAACTGGGCAAAGAAACAAATTTGGTGCAAGGAGATTACTGCCAAGATGCTTTCTCTTTCCCACATTCATCTTCTATCCTGGTAGACACCTTCACAATCGTTTGCACAATTCCACCCCCCCACACACTCACACTTTTAAAGTCGAGCAGCAGCTCTCTGGTGTCTGAAGAGGGAGAATCTTTTTGGCTGCTTCCTTTTTTGCAGTGTAATTTAAAAACAACAACACAAAATGCATTTGATGGAACGACGATTTAAAGGGAGAGAGCAGTGTTTGTGGGTAGGGTTTCAATCAGACATATTTCAAATGACTCCCGCTCTTCTGGGGACTACTAGGAAGACATGCATCACTCAAGTGGGAAAGTACAAAGCTTCAGGATGTTTTATGTGCAACTCCTTATGTTAAATACTAGGCAGGATCCCATCTTCATCGCCAATGTTAAATACTGCGTTCCATGGATGAGCAGACCCCCAAGCCTAGCGATCAGTTCAGCTTTATTAGTGATTCAGCAGATACAAGACTAAAACTCCAGGGCAATAGCCCTGATTAAATCGCATACCCAACTCCCAATGATAAGCTATTTACATAACATTAGGAATTAATTGTTCCACTGAGTTTGCAAAAAAACCCAAAACCCTTCCCCCATATCTTGTATTTGCCATATCTGGAGCCAGTTTGGTGTAGTGGTTAAGTGCGCGGACTCTAATCTGGGAGAACCGGGTTTAATTCCCCACCCCTCCACTTGCACCTGGCTGGATGACCTTGGGCAAGCCATAACTCTGGCACAGCTGTTCTTGAAAAAGAGCAGTTTCTGTCAGAGCTCGCTCAGCCCCCACCTACCTCACAGGGTGTCTGTTGTGGGGAGGGGAAGGGAAAGGAGTTTGTAAGCTGCTCTGAGACACCTTTGGGTAGTGAAGGGTGGGGTATAATTCCAGTCTCCTCCTCCTCCTCCTTCTTCTTCTTCTTCTTCTTCCTCACATTCACCACTTGATCCCTGTCCTCTCTATACTTTGCAGTCCAGACAACAGTTTGCCTACGTAGGCTGAATTTTTAGGACATGTGAGAAGCAAGTAAAAAGCCACTGAGTTTGCAACCCCCCCCTTCCCCCATATCCTGTATTTGCCATATCTGGAGCGTCTCAGCCTCCACTTATTACCCTCACAACAACCCTGTGAGGTAGATCAGGCTGCGTTAGGGCAGCTAGGGAGTTTCACGTCTGAGCAGGGATTTGAACCTCTTACATCCAAACCCAATACTGCAGAAGTAAAAAAAACAAACTACTCCTAAAACAAAACTGGATCCTTGCATATTTTTTTGAGACTCTGCAACTGTTTTGCGTAGAACAAGGCAGACAGAGAGAGTATCGAAACCGTGATAAACTAATGAATAAGAATTGCTTACAAATGCATATTATGTTTAGGCGTGCTAGTTAATGGGATTTTGAAAACTAACAGTGTTAAAAATGTGAAAGAATATTTAAAGGGAATAGATTGTTGATTTAGAAGAAATATATGCTTTCTTTAGCATAGTTAAACTGATAAGTTATGACTGTTTCTTTTCTGTTGTTTTTATATTGACATAAAATAGAATAGTAATAGTATAGTACTGATAAAATGAAATATAGCAAATAGAATATTGATGAATTGGTTTTACAAAGGGAATAGATACTTGGTTTAATAGCGTTTGTTATTGAATACAAAATAAAACAAAGGGGGGAAATGGGAAGCTGTATGCAAATATGATGATGTGAGCGAGATATTCGGCTTGCTATTTTAAAATGTATGGCTCTTTTTTATGTAACTTATTAAAAAATAATAATAAACTTTGCCCAATTTGGGCAAGTAAAACCCCCCAAAACAAATGCATTTTATAATTTTATATATATTTTAAATAAACAGTGCAGTACATATAACATGTGAAAATATAAATGAATTTCATAGAAAAATACAGTCTTTGTTTTGATATATAGGTTTAGGAAAGTTCACGGGCAGGTGCCAAGTCCTTGTACAAAAAGTTGATCAAAAGGGAAGAGTCTTCTTACGAAGTGGAAGAAGCATTTCACACCTCAGTAGTGTATCCAGATCTGCCGAACACTAAATTATCCTGCTAACACAGACGCCGCCATAAAGACGTGTTTCAAAGATTTTTTTCAAAGCAGGAAGAGTTCAGGATAGTTCAGGATACAGGCAACATAGTTTGCAAATTAATGGTAGCAGATAAACATAAGAACTTTCACTGAGGCCTTCCTCTGATGTTGCTTCCTGGCTCTGGGATTCAGAGGCTTAGTGCCTCTGAAAGCGGAGGTTCCCCTCAAGTCACCATGGGAAGCAGCCACTGAGAGACCTCTCCGCCCTGAACCTGACTAAGGTGTCTGTGCCTGTGGCCATCACTACATCCTCTGGCAGTGAATGCCAAATTCTAATCACTCTCTGTGTAAAGTAGTATTTTCTTTTGTGCATCTTGACCGTACTGCCCATCAGCTTAATTGGAGGCCCTCAAGTTCTAGTCTTTTGGGAGAGGGAGAAAAAATTCTCTCCACCCTGGGCATCATTTTATAAACCTCTCTCATATCCCCCCCCTCCTACTTGTCTCTTTCCTAAACTGAAAAGTCCCAAACTCTTCAGCCTCTCCTCCTAGGGAAGGGTGCTCCAACCCCCTCATCATCTGGGTTGCCCTCCTTTGTACTTTTCCAGCGCTGCAATGTCCTTTTGGAGATACAGTGACCAGAACTGCACACAGTATTCCAAATGAAGTCACACCACAGGTCCCCCGAGGTATGAGACCACAGAATCTGGATATAACAGATGTCTTCTTGGAAGCACGGCACGGAAAGGGTAAAGCGAGAGAGAACACTCCTTCTCACTAGTCACTTCTATAGAAAACTGCAGGCCATAGTCTGCCGACCTCATCCAATCGCTGGACAGTGTCCGTGGAATCTTCCAGGTGAGAGCAAATCCCCACCCACCACCAGATCCACAGCTGAATTAAATGAGCCGAATTAATGGGCCTGGATGGAGGACCTTGCCGAATATCTGCCTGGGTGGGAGATGTTGGGTATTACAAGTTGAAAACACTCAGTATATCTGGGGTTAAATGTTTGTTTATGTTACTCACAGGAAGTCACATGTTTCTCATGTAACCAATGTTCTTTAGATGTAGAAAGCCCAGGAATTTTCTCCCTGAGGTAGGGATTTGATTGGGACTAAAGTGTCAAGGTGTATTACCATTTTATGGCTTCCCGTCTTTGTTTGGTGTTCTGAAGAACAAGAAGAGCAGCCATAATCTCTCTCTTTTAGTTTTGTCTTTGTAGAGTAAGGATGTAGCCAATTATGCTCTGTTGTTATTTTCATCCCAGTTACCCTTCCCATGCTAGAATTTAGTAAAATCTTTATATTTTAATCACACATGGACTCTCAGTCTGAATTATTTTACTCTGGCTCTGCTGGACTATCTTATCTCTGCTAAATACCATTTTTTCAATATCTCACTATCACCCAACAGGAGGTGACCGGCACCTGCAGTAAATCAAGGAACTGTGCGGAACAGTGGAGTTAATTCAGAAATGATGTCGCTTCAGCTGGAACAGGCTAGAAAATTCCCTTAAGGTGCTCTCTGTCTTGACACCATCTTCTCAACGTCTTCCTGCAGACACAGAATCAGAGCCTCAGAAGTTGAAGGGACCCCCAGAGGTCATCTAGCATCACCCCAAGTCCAAGAAAATGCTCTCAGACCCTCCCCCAGTTCTTCCCCATCAGATACTCCTTCAGTCGCTTGCCGAAAGAGAGTATCCCTGAAGCTCTGTGGCCAACTGTTTGTACTGCCAAGAATCCTTCTGGGCGCGAAACTCTCCTTTTCTAGTCCGTAAGTGTGGCACTTTTCAGGGGAGGGTGCTGGGGGACACCCCAAGATTTTGGGGCCCTCAGGTGCCAGTGCTGGATGCCCTCAGTGCTTTCTCGGTCAGAGGCCACAAAACTGAATGAGGCTCCCCCACTGAATGAACTTACGGATTGACTTACGGATTCAGAAGAGGACAGTGGCCCCCAGCAAGATGGCACCAATGGTGACCCCCACGAGGCCTCTCCCAGTGAACCCCAAGTCGGACACAGAGGACGCAGCTGTTAAAAAAAAGAAAAGAGATTATTCTGACTGGTGGCAGCTCAGCGAGGCCCCAGCAAGAGAGGGAGCGAACCTGGGACTGAACCAACTAAGTGGGTGCCTCTAGAGCTGGATCATGAGAAGAGGGACGTTTCAAAAAAGAGGCTGTGTCAGCTTCCCTGGAGGCCTGCGATGATAACCTACCGTGGGCCTACCCAGCTCCCTCAGCCCTTGAAGAGTGGAGCCCATCCCCTGCTCTGGGACCCAAAGAGATGCAAGACCCTACACAGGTGTGTGTTTATCTGTGTGTCTGTGTGCGTGTGTACAACTTTTCCCTTTCCTGGGGAGTCTCTTGTTGTTACCGGCCCTTCCTCTCTGGTGTAAATCCTCCTCCCAGAATCGTCCGCCCCTCCCCAAACCAGCCAGCCCTTCTCCCCTTACGCTGTCTCTCACTGGGCTCCTCCCAGGCCAAGTCCAGCGGCTCCTGCAGGCCGTCGTGTTCCACATGACACCGATAGCGGCCCCTCTCCTCGGCCTCCACCTCAATGCTCAGCCAGGTGTGGTAGGTCCCGTCTGCGTTGGGGACGACGCCCCCCGTCAAGGTGTCCGGCGTCCGGTCCTCCCCGTCCTTCTGCCACGTTATGTCAATCTCCTTGGGGTAGAAGCCGCCGAGCCAGCAAACGAGGGTCTCCAGGCCGTCGTTGCCTGCCTTGCGCGTCACCTTCACCGTCGGGGGCTCTGTGAAAACGTCAGTGTTAGTCCCTGTCAAGGCAACATCTTTACAGAAGGGATGCTGAAAAGGACGCTCAAGCGGCTCTCTACTTGCACCCCTGTCCTAAAGTGGGACATCCCATGGCCGGAGCGTTCCCAACTACTGGAACACTCCACGGCACAGATCGTGGGGGTGTCACTGCCTCAGAGGTTCCCAAGACATTACAATTGGTCCGGATCATCTAGGTGGGTGGAGCTAGAAATGGGCATTGGGAGAGAAAGGTCACGGGGGGGGGGGGATGAGCAGGCCACAGACGCTTGCAGAGGGAAACATGGTGCAGGCGGGGGTTACCAACCTCCAAGTGGGTCCCGGAGATCTCCCGGAAATACAAATGGTGGGAGATCAAAAGCCAAAGGTCCTCCTGTAATGTAGGCCCTCTTCCCGAACGGGGACTTCCTTGTAGGCCCAAAGGCCCAAACGTGCATACACATGACGCTGCCTTATACTGCATGAGATCCTCTATTCATCAGACTCTGTCTTGTCTACTCAGACTGGTGGCAGCTGTCAGGGGGAGAACGGTCTTTCATATCACCTACTAGTAGACCCTTTAACCGGAGAAGCCAGGGATTGAACCTGGGACCTTCTACATCCCAAGCAGAGGCTTGGAAACAATGGAGTATAAGGACACCTTCTTTGGGGGGTTGTAACCTGGACTCTGTAAATCCAATCCTCACCATACTTGTAGGGCAGGTAGAGGAGAGTTACCTGGAGATCCTGTTTGCTGTCTCTATCTTGCACAGGATCCATTCTATACACTCCTGAATCTGTGCCTTTCATTTCCCAGAAAGCATTTGCCTGGGGTCACCTCCTTTTGGGAGCCGTAGCTTGGACCCTGTAAATCCAATCCTCACCAAACTTGGAGGACACATAAAGGAGAATCAGCCAGAGATCCTCTGTGAGTTTGGTGTCTCTAGAATGCTGGGGGTGGGTGATCTACCACATCACGAACCAAACCAGTTCATTTAGCCCCTAGAAGTTCATGATGGTTTGTGGTTCGTGAATCGGGCATGCCACGAACCATGAATCAGACTGAACCACATTTTCCCAATTTGTGCCCATCCCTATTAATGACAGGATGTTTTGGAGCTTATTGATTTATAGGGTCGCCATACGGATAGAACATAACACACACCGAGGATCTCTCTAAGTTGGTTGAATGCATGGCAAATGAACTTCAGCCAAAGTAAAAATAAAGATATGCATCTTTGGGCAACCCCCGCTCTGATAACTTTAACTAAACTTTGATGGGTTCCTGACTGGCTAGGAAGGAGATTTGGGGGTTGTGGTGGACAGCTGAAAGAAAAGGTTGTCTTGGTGATTCCTTCTGGTGGGGCCCCCAAGTCTGCACAGGGCCACCTTCCATGCACCTGAGTGACCAATAAGGTTGCTTAGTCAACCAAAACAGCCCCTTATCTCTTTCAAGCTGAGGGAATCCTGTGAGGGATCAGCCACCATTTTGGAGGCTGTAGCTAATTTAGCCAGTGGCCAGGCCTTCACCTCCTGTCCACTGCAGAGCCTTGAGGAAGAGTTCCGTCTCCTTGCCCAAATATCGGGGGGGGGGGCCCTCTTCTGCCTTTGTAATAATTCCCCATCCTCACCTTTCTTCAGCAAATCCACTTCCCCGTAGCGCAAGTGTGTTCGCAGCCCCTCCATGCAGATCTCCTCCAGGAAAAACGTCCAGAATTTTCGACGGCTCTCATCGGCCTCCCACTCCCTCTTGATGGGCTTGGCCTCCGTCTCCATCGCTGTCCAGGTGAGCATCTCATGCTCCAAACTGAGGAAATCCTTTCCGTTGTAGCCGTACTTCACAAACCCTCTTGGGGTAGGATTGTCCCCACTCAGTTCACAGCCGAAGATCACCTGCAAGGTTTGTATCCCTGAAGAAGACGTGCAAGGCAGAGGCAGTCAGTGCATTTTGTATAGTGCAAGTTTTTGAATGCTGTTACCTTCCCACCGAAGTGGTACCTATTTATCTACTTGCAATTTCTTGCTTTCATAAGAACATAAGAGACGCCAATGTTGGATCAGGCCAAAGGCCCATCCAGTCCAACACTCTGTGTCACACAGTGGCCAGAAATACCAGTGCCATCAGGAGGTCCAGCAGTGGGGCCAGGACATTAGAAGCCCTCCCACTGTTGACCCCCCCCCCAAGCACCAAGAAGACAGAGCATCACTTGCCCCAGAGCCCCTAGCTATACCTTGTGGCTAATAGCCACTGATGGACCTCTGCTCCATATGCTTATCTAATTCCCTTTTGAAGCCGTCCATGCTTGTAGCCGCCACCACTTCCTGTGGCAGTGAATTCCATGTGTTAATCACTCTTTGGGTGAAGAAGTACTTCCTTTTATCCGTTCTAACCCGACCGCTCAGCAATTTCATGGAGTGCCCACGGGTTCTTGTATTGTGAGAAAGGGAGAAAAGTACCTCTTTCTTTACCTGCTCTTTCCCATGCATAATCTTATAAACCTCGATCATGTCACCCCTCAGTCGTCTTTTCTCCAAGCTAAAGAGCCCTAAGCGCTTTAACCTTTCCTCATAGGGAAAGTGTTCCAACCCTTTTATCATTTGAGTTGCCCTTTTCTGCACTTTTTCCAAAGCTATAATATCTTTTTTAAGGTGTGGTGCCCAGAACTGCACACAGTATTCCAAATGAGGTCTCACCATTGATTTATATAGGGGCATTATTATATTGGCTGATCTGTTTTCAATACCCTTCCTAATAATCCCCAGCATAGCATTGGCCTTCTTTATTGCAGTCACACACTGTCTCGACATTTTCAGTGACTTATCTACTACTACTCCAAGATCTCTCTCTTGATCAGTCTCTGCCAGTTCAGACCCCATCAACGTGTATTTATAGTTAGGATTTTTGGCTCCAATGTGCATCACCTTGCACTTGGCCACACTGAACCCCATTTGCCATGTTGACACCCACTCGCCCATCCTTGACAGATCCCTCTGGAGTGCCTCACAATCCTCCCTGGTTTTCACCACCGTGAATCCTGCCCTTACTCAAAGGAACCCGGAGCAGCACACATGGGTCTTCCTCCATTTCTTTCCCACATCAACCATGTGAGGTGGGTTAGGCTGACAGTGTGTGAGCAGCCCTAGGTTTGAACCTGGGGGGTCCCAGATCCTAGTATGACAATCTAACTGCTATATCATGGTGGCTTTCAGAGTCAGAGACCTAGAGAGAGAGTCACCCCAGCCCTCTGACTAAGGAATGTAAGGGTCTCACTCCTACTGGGGAAAATAAGATCGAAAGAAGCTCTCGGTCCTTCCTCCTGAAAACTTTTGATTATTTTGTTTTGTTTAAATCAGCTCTTTACTTCATTTATAGTCCTTGTTTCTCATTGTGTCTCAAGGCAGACTGCAATGGAAAAAGACCGGTGTAATGTATACAACAAACTATAAGGTAAAGGTTTCCCTTGCTCGAAAGCCAGTCGACTCCGACTCTAGGGGGTGGTGCTTATCTCCGTTTCCAAGCCAAAGAGCCAGCGCTGTCCGAAGACGTTTCCATGGTCATATGGCTGGCATGACTAGACGCCGAGGTGCACGGAACGCCATTACCTTCCCACCGAAGTGGCACCTATTTATCTACTTACAATTTCTTGCTTTTTGAACTGCTAGGTTGACAAGAGCTGGGACCAGAGATGGGACGACCCGAGTCATGCGGCACTCGGGTCTTGAACTGCCAAACTACTGGCCTTCCGGTCTGCAGTTCAGCATCTTAACCACTCAGCCACCGCAGCTGCTTTTGACAACAAACTATACAATGTAGTAAAAGTGGGTTATAAAACCAGAGAACAATGAAACAAAACCCACCCAAAACACTCCAATACACCCATTCAGGGGTTACTCCAAACAGTACTGGACAACCAAGCATTCCAATTCCACTCTAAATTTGAAAAATGGGCACAGATCAGGCCCAAGAAAGTGGGGAAAACAACACAGGCACGCCCTCCCCCCCCCGCCCGGGAAAAATAATACAGCACAAGGTGGGCCCTGGCATTATCCAGAAAGCCTATAAAACCCAAAGGAACGAACTGTGGCCATTCCAGGCTCAATGGCAAGAGACAACCCGGCTGTGGAGGCTTCCAGCACGCATCACGGTGACCCACAAGAATCCAGCTCCAGCCTTCGCTCCGTGGCAACCCCACAGTCAGAACAGAGAGCAGGGGTTTCCATAATTTATTTATTTATTTATTTATTTTGGGATTTACAGGAAGGCACTTGGCACAGTGTGAGTCCTTCTCTGTATCCAGCTCAGCACCGTTTCTGCTGGGGCTACCTGTGGCTCACCAGGGTCTCTGGCAGAGAAGGGCCTAACCCAACAACGGCTTCCTGGGAGCCTTGAACTGAGAGGCCAGGGATCCATATCCCGCACACAGCTGCCCGACCATGGGTTGTACAGTGCCACAAGTGGGCACAAACCAGCTCTTTCTGTGATGAATTTAGACTATCAAGAAAACTCATGAGGCGTCCCATTATACCTATATCTATACAAGGTATAGATAGGAGCTCTTGGTCTGGGGCAAGTGATGCTCTGTATTCTTGGTCCTTGGGGGGGGGGCAACAGTGGGAGGGCAACAGTGGGAGAGGACTCCTAGTGTCCTGGCTCCACTGCTGGACCTCCTGATGGGGCACCTGGTATTTTGGGCCACTGTGTGACACAGAGTGTTGGACTGGAGGGGCCATTGGCCTGATCCAACGTTGGCTTCTCTTATGTTCTTAGGAGCTCTTGGTCTGGGGCAAGTGATGTTCTGTATTCTTGGTCCTTGGGGGGGAGGCAACAGTGGGAGGGCTTCTAGTGTCCTGGCCCCACTGCTGGACCTCCTGATGGCACCTGGTGTTTTGGGCCACTGTGTGACACAGAGTGTTGGACTGGAGGGGCCATTGGCCTGATCCAACGTTGACTTCTCTTATGTTCTTAGGAGCTCTTGGTCTGGGGCAAGTGATGTTCTGTATTCTTGGTCCTTGGGGGGGAGGCAACAGTGGGAGGGCTTCTAGTGTCCTGGCCCCACTGCTGGACCTCCTGATGGCACCTGGTGTTTTGGGCCACTGTGTGACACAGAGTGTTGGACTGGAGGGGCCATTGGCCTGATCCAACGTTGGCTTCTCTTATGTTCTTAGGAGCTCTTGGTCTGGGGCAAGTGATGTTCTGTATTCTTGGTCCTTGGGGGGGAGGCAACAGTGGGAGGGCTTCTAGTGTCCTGGCCCCACTGCTGGACCTCCTGATGGCACCTGGTGTTTTGGGCCACTGTGTGACACAGAGTGTTGGACTGGAGGGGCCATTGGCCTGATCCAACGTTGGCTTCTCTTATGTTCTTAGGAGCTCTTGGTCTGGGGCAAGTGATGTTCTGTATTCTTGGTCCTTGGGGGGGAGGCAACAGTGGGAGGGCTTCTAGTGTCCTGGCCCCACTGCTGGACCTCCTGATGGCACCTGGTGTTTTGGGCCACTGTGTGACACAGAGTGTTGGACTGGAGGGGCCATTGGCCTGATCCAACGTTGGCTTCTCTTATGTTCTTAGGAGCTCTTGGTCTGGGGCAAGTGATGTTCTGTATTCTTGGTCCTTGGGGGGGAGGCAACAGTGGGAGGGCTTCTAGTGTCCTGGCCCCACTGCTGGACCTCCTGATGGCACCTGGTGTTTTGGGCCACTGTGTGACACAGAGTGTTGGACTGGAGGGGCCATTGGCCTGATCCAACGTTGGCTTCTCTTATGTTCTTAGGAGCTCTTGGTCTGGGGCAAGTGATGTTCTGTATTCTTGGTCCTTGGGGGGGAGGCAACAGTGGGAGGGCTTCTAGTGTCCTGGCCCCACTGCTGGACCTCCTGATGGCACCTGGTGTTTTGGGCCACTGTGTGACACAGAGTGTTGGACTGGAGGGGCCATTGGCCTGATCCAACGTTGGCTTCTCTTATGTTCTTAGGAGCTCTTGGTCTGGGGCAAGTGATGTTCTGTATTCTTGGTCCTTGGGGGGGAGGCAACAGTGGGAGGGCTTCTAGTGTCCTGGCCCCACTGCTGGACCTCCTGATGGCACCTGGTGTTTTGGGCCACTGTGTGACACAGAGTGTTGGACTGGAGGGGCCATTGGCCTGATCCAACGTTGGCTTCTCTTATGTTCTTAGGAGCTCTTGGTCTGGGGCAAGTGATGTTCTGTATTCTTGGTCCTTGGGGGGGAGGCAACAGTGGGAGGGCTTCTAGTGTCCTGGCCCCACTGCTGGACCTCCTGATGGCACCTGGTGTTTTGGGCCACTGTGTGACACAGAGTGTTGGACTGGAGGGGCCATTGGCCTGATCCAACGTTGGCTTCTCTTATGTTCTTAGGAGCTCTTGGTCTGGGGCAAGTGATGTTCTGTATTCTTGGTCCTTGGGGGGGAGGCAACAGTGGGAGGGCTTCTAGTGTCCTGGCCCCACTGCTGGACCTCCTGATGGCACCTGGTGTTTTGGGCCACTGTGTGACACAGAGTGTTGGACTGGAGGGGCCATTGGCCTGATCCAACGTTGGCTTCTCTTATGTTCTTAGGAGCTCTTGGTCTGGGGCAAGTGATGTTCTGTATTCTTGGTCCTTGGGGGGGAGGCAACAGTGGGAGGGCTTCTAGTGTCCTGGCCCCACTGCTGGACCTCCTGATGGCACCTGGTGTTTTGGGCCACTGTGTGACACAGAGTGTTGGACTGGAGGGGCCATTGGCCTGATCCAACGTTGGCTTCTCTTATGTTCTTAGGAGCTCTTGGTCTGGGGCAAGTGATGTTCTGTATTCTTGGTCCTTGGGGGGGAGGCAACAGTGGGAGGGCTTCTAGTGTCCTGGCCCCACTGCTGGACCTCCTGATGGCACCTGGTGTTTTGGGCCACTGTGTGACACAGAGTGTTGGACTGGAGGGGCCATTGGCCTGATCCAACGTTGGCTTCTCTTATGTTCTTAGGAGCTCTTGGTCTGGGGCAAGTGATGTTCTGTATTCTTGGTCCTTGGGGGGGAGGCAACAGTGGGAGGGCTTCTAGTGTCCTGGCCCCACTGCTGGACCTCCTGATGGCACCTGGTGTTTTGGGCCACTGTGTGACACAGAGTGTTGGACTGGAGGGGCCATTGGCCTGATCCAACGTTGGCTTCTCTTATGTTCTTAGGAGCTCTTGGTCTGGGGCAAGTGATGTTCTGTATTCTTGGTCCTTGGGGGGGGAGGCAACAGTGGGAGGGCTTCTAGTGTCCTGGCCCCACTGCTGGACCTCCTGATGGCACCTGGTGTTTTGGGCCACTGTGTGACACAGACTGTTGGACTGGATGGCCCATTGGCCTGATCCAACATTGACTTCTCTTATGTTCTTAGGAGCTCTTGGTCTGGGGCAAGTGATGTTCTGTATTCTTGGTCCTTGGGGGGGAGGCAACAGTGGGAGGGCTTCTAGTGTCCTGGCCCCACTGCTGGACCTCCTGATGGCACCTGGTGTTTTGGGCCACTGTGTGACACAGACTGTTGGACTGGATGGCCCATTGGCCTGATCCAACATTGACTTCTCTTATGTTCTTAGGAGCTCTTGGTCTGGGGCAAGTGATGTTCTGTATTCTTGGTCCTTGGGGGGGAGGCAACAGTGGGAGGGCTTCTAGTGTCCTGGCCCCACTGCTGGACCTCCTGATGGCACCTGGTGTTTTGGGCCACTGTGTGACACAGAGTGTTGGACTGGAGGGGCCATTGGCCTGATCCAACGTTGGCTTCTCTTATGTTCTTAGGAGCTCTTGGTCTGGGGCAAGTGATGTTCTGTATTCTTGGTATTTGGGGGGGAGGCAACAGTGGGAGGGCTTCTAGTGTCCTGGCCCCACTGCTGGACCTCCTGATGGCACCTGGTATTTCTGGCCACTGTGTGACACAGAGTGTTGGACTGGAGGGGCCATTGGCCTGATCCAACACTGGCTTCTCTTCTGTTCTTATGTTCATCATATTTTCACCCCCAGGAGCCATGTATGTGTGTGTGCGTACACACTGCAGTCTGGCCTAGGAGTAGGGCCAGGATGTGACTGAGACACATGCAGTAGGCTCGAGATGGAGCAGGGCCAAACAAAATGGATGCCAGCAAACAACAAGTTTAAAACGTCTATTTTGGGAAGGTGACTTCAGGGCATCCGTTGGGTTGGCAGCTCTGTTTTCCCACTTTAAAGAAATACGCTCGGCACACCTGGATATGTCCTTCCCAATATGTTTACGCTAATTAATTGGTGCTGTTCATACCCCCTGATAGCCCTCCCTGTCCTCCTCCCAAAGGTCATCAAGGAAAGCATCAGCCTAATTAGAAACGTTAACATCTTTGCTTTTGTCAGCATTGCAACAGGAAACATTGTTTCAGCTTGCATTGGACAACCCCGTTCAGCCACACTCATGCAAAATATCATGCTTTGCTCTGTCTTTGTTAATGCCTGGGAACGCCATTCATAGCGTTTCCTCTATATTGTTCTACTCTTAACTAAAAGCACACCAGGACATTGTTTTGGGGGCAACTGTGTCACCATGCCCTCAGGTATCATTCCGCCCTGTATCTGCACAGGCTCCGCCCCATGCAAAGTGTGTCTGCCCTGGGCGCCTTGCTGACAGTTCACCCCCAAGTTCATTTGGGTTCCTTCCCATCTTCACAGCCTCTCTTCTGCGGACTTCTGCACATCTGGATAGGTAACTATAATTTCTTCCAAACAGCCCTCTATATACCTGCTACCTCTCTTGTCTCTATCATCTTGTGTGTATGTTTTCAACGTGTGTTTTATTTCCGTCTCTGTGCAATTTATTAGTATTCTTTCAGTAAAAATAATCTTTTCTGATTAAGCAACTGACTGGCTAATTCTGAGAGTTTTAAAAATTTCTTTCTAGCAGACAAGAGTCCAGCAATAACATTATCTGTCGCTGAATTTTTGATTTATGTATGGAAGTCAAGAGTAGTACTTTGTAAATCTTGTAAACCATGTTAGGATTGCTTTGTATTTTGAGATATTGGGAATATTGGTTGGCGTTGTTTTAGTACTACCCCTTAAATTTTTCCTTTGTTCTGGTTTATCTATGTTATGCCAATAAAGGTTTTCTGTTCTGTTCTGTCCTGGGTACAAGAACAGAACATGTGTGTGTGAGAGAGAGTTTCTCTAAGGGGAAAATGCCCGTCAACGCTGGTAGACAATCTCGCTAGATTACCCCCCCCCTCTTGCAAGCTCTGTCTCCTTGCTAATTCCCCTAATAAATAGGAGACAGCCTTTCTGAACAAATATAGCATTTGGGGTAATACCTCCTGCTCTCCACTCACCCCTGCTCCGGTTGTAACGGTCCTTCAGCATCATCATATCTGTGAGTAAAGTTATGGCAAAATTCCCTCCCGTGTTCCTTAACCAGAAGTGGGTGTCATCTTTGTGGATCTCCTCTATCCAGGGCGACTGAGGCACGCACTCGTCGATGTTTCTGTCGTAGCGGCCGATGAGCTGGTCGTTCATGTACACCAAGGCGGTGAACTGGGGCACCCGCCAGCCTGGCTCCCAGACGGCCATGTCGAAATACCTCAGCGAGTGTGAGGGGGAGAAGTCTGGGAAAGAAGACAGAGGGGCAGTTGGGGGGGGGACTGCAGCAGAGGGAACATCTGATCTACCGAAGGGCACCCTCCCCTCCTTCTTGTGGTGATCCATACAAAAAAAGCGGGAAGGGGAGGCTTTCGCTCAACCACTTTGTCAAAGCACCAGTTTGGTGTAGTGGTTAAGTGCCCGGACTCTAATCTGGGAGAGCCGGGTTTGATTCCCCACTCCTCCACATGCACCTGCTGGATGACCTTGGGCAAGCCATAGTTCTGTCAGAGCTGTTCTTGAAAAAAGAGCCGTTTCTGTCAGAGCTCTCTCAGCCCCACCTGTCTCACAGGGTGTCTGTTGTGGGGAGGAGAAGGGAAAGGAGTCTGTAAGCCGCTCTGAGACACCTCTGGGTAGTGAAGGGCGGGGCATGAATCCAATCTCCTCCTCTTCTTCTCTTCTGTGCAGAATGGGAGAGGGGAAAAGGGAGATTCCCCCTTCCCAGAAATGAGACTTGGGACAAGGGTACTCGGAGAGAGGCACTGGAGAGAGCCAGGAAATCAGCCGCCTCGGGAGGTGGTGAGCGCCTCCTCACTGCCAGTCTTCAAGCAGCGGCTGGACAAACACTTGTCATGGATGCTCTCTAGGCTGATCCTGCCTTGAGCAGGGGGGGGTTGGACTAGACAGCCTGTATGGCCCCTTCCAGCTCTATGATTCTATGAATCCGGAGTCTCATTGGTTTCAAGAGAGATTCAGGACAACCCCAAACCTATCCTCAACATTTAGCCCTTGGAATGTCCACGTTTATTGGCTCCACTGTGGGTGACATGGCCCCAGATGTGAGGGGCATGCCAGCAAAGCTCCCCAGTGTTGTAAAAATAGTCAAAAGTATTTAAATTACTCAGAGTATCAATGGATCTTGTTCTATTGGAAAGAAGAGATTTCTTTGCTTTTAAAAACCTTTATTTCTAAGGGTAAAGGTACACGGGAAAGCTACAAATAAACAGAACATCTAACAGCTACATTTTCTAAGCTGCCTATAGTTCAACACTGACACACAGATAATGGAGAATCTGTCCTTCTTCTCGACCCCTAGATAGGAAGTCACCTGAAAACAAACAACCAATCTGTATCACAATAGAAGCTACTTTTCCCCGGGCTAATCCCCCATTGGCTCTGTGCCAGGTTTCTCTTCCAGGTCAGTCTAAACAATAGCAATACTAGGCAAACAAGTTAACCCTATAATGACTGGATTGTCAAACCTTGTAAATACATACATTTCCAACACCCAGCACCCCCCACTTTTCGTCTCCATTGCCCACATCCCATGCGGGGGGGGGGGGCATCCATCCTTCCTCACCAAAATGATGCTCCACAGATGATCTAAAGCCCCAGCTCAGTAATTCCTCCGTTCCAACCACACAGAACACATCCCAGAAACCTTCTCCCCCCCCCCAAGCACCCCAAACCCAGAGAAACAAGGAGTGGATCCTGACCCCCGTCACAAAGGCCAAGTCTTGGTGCAAAGGATCCTGAATCTGAATTTGTTAAATAGGCATGATTATGTATAGTAAAGGTAAAGGTTTCCCTTGCACAAAAGCCAGTCAAGTCCGACTCTAGGGTTGCGGTGCCCATCTCCATTTCAAAGCCGAAGAGCCAGCGCTGTCCGAAGACATTTCCGTGGTCATGTGGCCGGCATGACTAAACACCAAGGCCACGGAACGCTGTTACCTTCCCACTGAAGTGGTCCCTATTTCTCTACTTGCAATTTCTTGCTTTCGAACTGCTAGGTTGGCAGGAGCTGGACCTAGAGACGGGAGCTCACACCATCATGTGGCACACTCGGGTCTCGAACTGCTGAACTACCGACCTTCCACAGCCTGCAGTTCAGCGTCTTAACCACTTGAGCCACCGCAGCTCCTATGATTATGTATACCAAGGTCAATAAAATAATTTTTTCTCACTGTCTGCATTTCTTTTCTGGCCGCTGAAACAAAGTTCGGGTCCAGCGGCACCTTTAAGACCAAACAGTGTCTTGCGGCTTCAGACCAACACGGCTACCCGCCTGCCTCTATTTTCCTCACTGTTACCATTGTTCTTTTCATTTCATGAAAATAATAATTACTGAAAATATTGTCGTATAGAGGAGGTGCCCTAACTTGGATAGCCCTCGCCTAGACTGATCTCATCAGATCTCAGGTACAAAGAAGGGCCAACACGGAGGCAGGCACTGGCAGACCACCTCTGAACGTCCCTTGCCCTGAGAATCCGATGGGGGAATTCGAACCTGGGTCTGTTACCCAAATGGCCCAGAGGTCTACATACCCTGGCCAGAGGAGTGGTGTCCTTTAAAGGATTTAGAAGCCTAGCGGGCAGATATTATTGGGAGCCAATGTTCCCTCTAAGCTGTGGAGTCTTGTGAGCAAAAACTCGACTTTGCGAGCGACTGGCATTCAAGTTGTGAGCGAGCGATTTGGCTGCTGCATCAATTAGTTTGCCCTGGAACCCTCCTTCCTGAGCTCAGGCAAAAATCTGTGAGCCGGAGGCTAAAAAGCTGTGAGCTAGCTCACACTAACTCAGCTTAGAGGGAACACTGATTGGGACCATGTTGCCTGGGGTATACCGAGGTCCAGGATTTGATCGAACGCCTCTTAAGGGTGCGGAGGTTCTTAGAATATAAACAGACAATGGTCTAAAGTTAAGAAGTTAAGGATTTATTAAGAAATAGAAGAGTGGCAAAGGGAATCAGCAGACTGAATACAGAGTTGGAAACACGCACGCACCCCCCCACACTAAAGAAGTCTTCTACAGATCCTAACTTCTGCTAGGCAAACAGTATACTAAAATAAACAGTAGAGTGGGTGTTCAAAACTCATCTGCCCCGGGTGCCAAATAGACTAGGTAGGCCACTGCCTAGCTGCTCACTGCGCAGAGACAGAGTTCCTTTTTCTATAGATAAGAAGAAACGAAGGAGGCTAGAGTCTGTTATTTGTAATGCATCCATCCATCCTGTTCTCAAACATAATTCACTCTTCCGTATGTTTGGAGTGTAGCTACGTTCCTGACAGGGAGAGAAGGAAAAGAAACCATCTATTCCGAGAGATCATGTGGTACCAACCCCGGTCTGGGACAATGGCACAAAGAGATCAGAGGTCAACGAGAAGATTTTAAACATCTTCATTATGCTAATTTTCATTTCAGGGTGTCTGACGAAGTGCGCATGGACACGTAAACTCACACCTTGAATAAAACGTGGTTGGTCTTAAAGGTGCCACGGGACTCAGACTGGATTCTGCGGCTTCAAACCGACACGGCTACCCTGCCGGATCCTATCCTAAAATATAGTATCTAATTAAAAATGTGATCAGTCAACCTTGGGCTCACTAATCAAAGCTATGAGTAAGCACCTTACATCTCTATGCCATTACTAAAGCTAATAAAATACCTTGACATTTCCCTTCCACACCACCATTCTACCTTTTATATTAGTAATGTTTGCCTAGCAGAAGTTAGGATCTGCAGAACACTTCTTCAGTGCGGGGGTGCGTGCAAGTTTCAAACTCTGCTGATTCCCTTTGCTATTGTTCTAGTTCTTAATAAACCCTTCACTTCTTAACTTTAGACCATTGACTGTTTATTCGAAGAGCCTGCACACCCTTACGAGGCGTTAGATCAAATCCTGGACCTCAGTATACATCAGACAAGATGACCCCAATAATATTTGCCCGATAATATTGCTTCTGAATTCTTAAAAGGACAACACTCCTTTGGCCAGAGTATATACACCTCTGGGCCATTTAGGTAACAGGTAAAGGTTCCCTTGCTCGAAAGCCAGTCGAGTCTGACTCTAGGGTTGCGGTGCTCATCTCTGTTTCAAAGCCGAAGAGCCAGCGCTGTCCGAAGACGTTTCCGTGGTCATGTGGCCGGCATGACTAAACACCAAGGCGCACGGAACGCTGTTCCCTTCCCACCGAAGTGGTCCCTATTTCTCTACTTGCAATTTCTTGCTTTCGAACTGCTCGGTTGGCAGGAGCTGGAACCAGAGATGGGGGTTCACTCCGTCATGCGGCAACTCGGGTCTTGAACGGCTGAACTACCGACCTTCCACAGCCTGCAGCTCAGCGTTTTAACCACTTGAGCCACCGCAGCTCCTTTAGGTAACAGACCCAGGTTCAAATTCCACAGTCTGGGCTGGGCTGTGGGTAGGGGCCCCAGGCAAGCCTCCCCCCCACTCAGGGTGCCAAAAGGTTTTGAGGATAACAAGGAGGAGGGCGGGGCCCTCTGTCCTCTGCTTTGAGCCACTTGGGAGGACAGCCTAAAACCAAGTGAGACTGAAGATCTTGCTGGCATCTTTGCTTTTCCTAGTGCTGTTCTCCTCCCCCCACCACCACTTTTGCGGGGTTATTAGCTTTCTCGCCTGCCCTAGGCCTCCCCCCCCTGTTCTTCTGCATACCTATCCCCCCCCCCCAGCAGCAGGTGACACTTCCTGCCTCCGGAAGAAGCTGACTCCAAACAGCGCATAAACAGCCTCTGATGTGCTATCAGTTTCCCCACAGCTGTGTCTGAAAACCCTGAGATAAGCCTGGCAGACACAATCCTGCCTGCCATGGAGAGATAGAGTGCAACTCTCAGAGAGGTTCGGGGCTTTTTGCAGACAGGAGGTGCAAGTCCAGCCCCCAGGCCGAGGGACCTCAGGCTGCAGAAAGAGTACTCAAAGCAGGTGCGTAGCTACCACAGAAGAAACCAAGAAGGTATCAACAGGTATCCATGAGGAAAAAACAACAAACCACAAAACGCTGTGACAGGAGTGACTAGAACATTAAGTCAAGCTTATGTTGTACAATGAATCAAACTTTACAAAATTACAAGGAGAAGTCCATCCTACTCTCAATAAAACTTTAGAAAATTACAAGGAAAATACATCATATTCAATTACAGGGAAAGTCCATCATACTCAATGAGCACCCGGATATAAACTCATTTCATCCCACTCCTCCTCAGGAGTAATCCTATTGTATAGCAAGGCATCAGCCTCTTGATACAGTTCAATGTCTGTTAGGAGCAAACCAGTGCTTAACTTCTTTATTTTTTGCACTTTATCTTCTGGTTCCATTTTGAGTGTTAGTATTAGGAGCAGGCCAGTGTTATCTATTTAACTAGGCGCACAAGCCTCCTACCTAGCAACCTAGCAGTTGGAAAGCAAGAAATTGCAAGTAGATAAATAGGGACCACTTCGGTGGGAAGGTAACAGCGTTCCGTGCGCCTCGAAGTTTAGTCATGCCGGCCACATGACCATGGAAACGTCTTTGGACAGCGCTGGCTCTTCGGCTTTGAAACGGAGATGAGCACCGCAACCCCAGAGTCGGATTCGACTGGCTTTCAAGCAAGGGAATCTTTACCTTTACAAGCCTCCTGTATTATGCTGGCTGAAATGCTCTCCATGAAAACACTGTAAAAATATTTACAGTAGTAGCACCAGCCCTCTTTTTTTCTGGCTAGAAGCCTTCAATTTTAAATGTGGCTGGCAAAATGCCAGGTATTCCCTTAATTCGATTAGCCAGTGCCCCCTAAGAAATTTAAATGCCCCCTGAGTTTTAAAACCCTGGCTTACGGGCCTGAAGCAAAGGAGAAGGAAGGAGGCCAAGAGCTTTGGGCATGGAACAAGCCTCCTGGGAGACCCATAACCAGTCACAGCCCCCCCCCCCCAACCGTATTCCCAAAACCTCCATAACCAGTGAAGACCAGTGTTCCCCCTGAGCTGAGTTCCTGTGAGCTAGCTCACAGTTTTTTAGCCTCCAGATCACACGTTTTTGTCTTGGCTCAGGAAGGAGGGCTCCACAGCCAACCAACTGATGCAGTAGTAGCCAAACCGCTGGCTCACCACTTTAACGCCAGGAGCTCACAAAGTGGAATTTTTGCTCACAGGACTCCACGGCTTAGCGGGAGCGTTGGGGAAGACAACAGCAAACCGGGCCCAAACTGCCTTCCGCGGTGGGAAGGGGCCCGAAGCCCCTTCCCGGCTGGCAGGCGGGAGCCAAGCGCTGAGCAGGGTAGAGAAGGGGCGCAGAGCCTGCCCCGAGGCGCTTCCAAACCGCGGAGACGACCGGGAAGGGACTTTGACCGAGGGGAGGGATCCCCAGATTGGCAACAGACCCCCTTTTTTGCACGCCAAGGGAATCCCCCGCACGCGCGCGCGCACACACGCAGAGGCATGGACCTCGGTGCGAATTCTGCTCCCCTCCCGCGAGGAGGGGGGGGTCTCAGCCCCCGGAGGCACGCACTCACCGGCTCTGCGAGGCAACAGCAGGAAGAAGATTGCCCCCAGGGGCAAGAGGCGCCACTCGAGGGAGCCCATCGCGACCAGGAGCCTCGACGTTCAGGCAGGGGCTGCGCTTCGTCTCCCTCCGACAGCCGCATGCTGAGCAAGGAGGGGAGGCGGGGCGAGAACTCAGACGGGCGCAGAGAGGCAAAGCGAAGACTGGCGGGGAGGGAGGAGGGAGGAGGGGGGGACGTCCTAGAAGTTTGACCAAAGTCTTCTTCCACCTGGGGCTGGTAGCTGCAGGGAACTACATCCCCCCAAAGGCCTTGCGAGCGCCCGAGAGGTCGAGCCTGCCCTTTTCCAGGAGTTGTTGAAGTGGGGGGGAAGCGCATTTGGAGACTTGGGGGGCGGCGGCAGCGCCTCTCTCCTTCCTCCCCCCCCCCGGTGGCTGGAGGGAGAATCCGGATCTTGCACGTCTGCAGGAAAGGTGGGTGGAGGGTTTCCTAAAAGGGCGCTTTGGCAAGATCGGGGGAGGGGAGAGACGCTTTGGAGGCCAGCGGAAGAGGAACAGGCTGCCGGAGGGAGGGAGAAACTTCCCCGGGCGAGAGGGGGGCGTGCGCTTTTATTCTCCAGCCCCTCGGATGGGTTCCCCTGCAACAAGTCGCCCGTGCAGATTGCCCCCCGGGGAATTTTTTCCTTAAATTTTGGGGGGGGCCCCCCCCCCCCCCCGGTCTGATCCGGCAGCGTTCCTTCCTCGCCGTGCTTGCTGCTGGCCTCGCAGGGCTCCCGTTTGCAGGAGGCGTTTGGCCGTCTTTTGCTCTTGGGACCGGATTTCCAGGAAATACCCTTTGCCTTCTCTCATCCCAGGGACCGTCGTCTGAAGGTTTGTTTGGGGAAGGAGGGGGACCCGCTCCACGCTCCCGGCTTCTGCTGCTTCCGCCAATGTTCCCTCTAAGCTATGGAGTCTTGTGAGCAAAAATTCTACTTTGTGAGCTGCTGGCATTAAAGGTGTGAGCGAGCGATTTGGCCGCTGCATAAATCAGTTTGCTTTGGAGCCATCCTGCCTGAGCTAAGACAAAAATCTGTGAGCCGGAGGCTAAAAATCTGTGAGCTAGCTCACACCAACTCAGCTTAGAGGGAACTATGGCTTCCGCCTGCCTGGCTTCTCGGGAGTAAACCCACCACTTCCTTTGCAAAATGCTAGAGGGATGTTCTGTTGTTCATCTTGGCCAGGCGGCGTCCCTTCCCTTCTTTTTTGGCACGGCGACTCCAGCAATCGTCCTGAACCCATTTTATTGTAGATATAAACAAATAATCTCCCCCCCCACACACACACCCTTTAGTAATTCTTCTGCAAGATCTCTGGGTTAAAGCAAGATCTTTGGGTTAAAGTAGGTATGTAGGGCTGCAGAGAGTGGAGGGGGTTGGACTAGATGACCTCCAAGGTCTCTCCCAACTCTTAACATTCTATGATTCTATAAAGCATTTCTGTCAGCTAGGCCCTCTGGCTCTCCTAGCTGCCATGAGAGTGGAGGGGTGCCTTTGGAGGGTTAACTTTCGATTCTGCTGTGTCTCCAGTGCTTCTGTTATCTCTCATAAGAACATAAGAGACGCCAATGTTGGATCAGGCCAAAGGCCCATCCAGTCCAACACTCTGTCACACAGTGGCCAGAAATACCAGGTGCCATCAGGAGGTCCACCAGTGGGGCCAGGTCATTAGAAGCCCTCCCACTGTTGACCCCCCCAAGCACCAAGAAGACAGAGCATCCGTTGCCCCAGAGCCCCTATCTATACCTTGTGGCTAATAGCCACTGATGGACCTCTGCTCCATATGCTTATCCAATTCCCTTTTGAAGCCGTCCATGCTTGTAGCCGCCTCCACTTCCTGTGGCAGTGAATTCCATGTGTTAATCACTCTTTGGGTGAAGAAGTACTTCCTTTTATCCGTTCTAACCCGACCGCTCTGCAGTTTCATGGAGTGCCCACGAGTTCTTGTATTGTGAGAAAGGGAGAAAAGTACCTCTTTCTCTACCTGCTCTTTCCCATGCATAATCTTATAAACCTCGATCATGTCACCCCTCAGTCGTCTTTTCTCCAAGCTAAAGAGCCCTAAGCGCTTTAACCTTTCCTCATAGGGAAAGTGTTCCAACCCTTTTATCATTCGAGTTGCCCTTTTCTGCACTTTTTCCAAAGCTATAATATCCTTTTTAAGGTGTGGTGACCAGAACTGCACACAGTATTCCAAATGAGGTCTCACCATTGATTTATATAGGGGCATTATGATATTGGCTGATCTGTTTTCAATACCCTTCCTTCTCGGCTCAGTGTTTGACCTTGCTTGCGTGGTGTTGTATTTCTCCTGGGAATCAGGGACCCTTAACTTTGGCGGGCTCCTACCTGGCCCCAGGCCATCAGGGGTTCTGCTTGAACCGTGTTCATCCATTGCTCTCGCTGGCGGTGATGCTTAAGACTAGGCTCTGTGAAGTGTAGTGGGTTAGACGCGTAAAGAAAGCATGGAAACTGATGTGGTGATCAGCATGGCTTTACTGGTACACAACAAGACTAAGGACTAACGGCCGGCAGGCCAACTATATACACAGTCCAGGGGCTTCCCCTGGTCCCATTGGTGGGTTTGAATCTCCCGCCAAGGTCCCATTGGTTCCCCCCAGTGGAGGGACTAGAATCCTAGTCCCATTGTTGTGCCGGACTGAAGCTCAGGAGTGTGCGCTGACCTCCGGTGGCGGTCAGCGGACACAACACTCTGCATACTTTCAGTGTCTCAAACTTCACTTCTTTGAATGAAAGCTGTTGGGAACTGATTGCTGCAGGAGTCTTGACAGTTTCCGTTCTATGAAATCCAAAATCTCTTGAGATGGTGCGTGAAAAGTACTGAGACTTACTAGCGATTCAGCTCCCATACTTTATTTCAGCTCAGAACAAGGTGAAAGCTACCGGCTCGCAGGCTGGTTTATAAAGGCAAACAACCCACACCCAAAACACCCCCCCACAAGTTATAGGCTATTTACAGTGGCCGAGAGTTCCATAGGATCTCGGCCTGGAGCCTAGCCCTCCGATTGGAGCGGGCTGGGATCTGCTTGGCCCACTGTTCGTTAGAGCAAAGCTCAGCCGCCTTCGCATGACCGCGTGGCGACCAAGCCGCACACGCGGTCGGAGTTTGATACATTACAGTGCAATAGCTTCCTTGCAGTTCAAGGGCATTGCTTGTGCAAACCGCCGTCATCCCACCACGCAGAATGCCGGAAAGGTCGCTAAGGTCCCCCGCCCCCCAATTTGAGCTGGATGTTCTGTTCCCGGCCTCTCTCTCGCCCGGGAAGGAACCCCGAGGGTCACACAACCTGGAGTGAGCAGACCTCAGGGTTTGTTAGGGGGGGAAATCGACCCAAGTGTATTAGTCCACTTGATGCTTACAGAGTTTTAGTGTAACACAGAAAGCCTCTCCAGGGGGGGAAAAAAGTTTAAAGCAAGAAACCTTCTCTGGAAACACAATGTTCATGTTTTGGGGGGCATTAAACGTGCGAGATGGTATCGTAGACGGTGCTATACAGTCAGCCAGGGTTCTTTCTTTCCCATGTAATTGGACTGGAGCAAGAGGAGCCCGATTTTGTGCAGTTTTCTGAATTCGTATTCCTCGGAGGCTTTCAGTATATTATAACTGTTAGAGGCTAAAACCCCACACACACCTAATACAGTTTTTCTTGTCCATCGGTTTTGCATTCCTTTAATGAACTGAGTGGGCGATGGAATCCTTTTTTCTTGAGAGCTCGGGCAGGAGCAGATGTTCAAGTGGGGACATGTTTTCCTCTTTCAGAGACCCCCAGAGGTGTCCTTTGAGGACGTCGCCATGTTCTTCACGGAGGAGGAATGGGCTCTGCTGGATCCAGGCCAGAGGAAACTCTTCTGGGAAGTGATGGAGGAAAACTACGAGACCGTGGCCTGTCTGGGTAAGGCTCTTCCCCCCCTTCCATTATGAACACGTAAGAGAAGGGCAGGGGGTGGCGTCTTCCTTTGAGCCTCTTTCCTTTTTGTTCTTGTGGTTCGACCCTATTTCCTCTCTTGTTCATGAGGTATAAGGCTTCCTCTCAGGGACAAGATGTTCTCAGGGCAGGAAGTGTAAAGCCGTTGGGTCGCCGCTGTGTGGTAAGTTTTGTATTGAGTCTGAAGAGGACAGAGATCACGGAAGGGGTGGGCTTGATAAAGCAAGAAGGAAGATTGATTCAAATACACGGGAAGGAGCCCCGCAGAACAACAAAGGGGCAGTGAAACCGTCTTTCCAGATTCCAAAAGCCCTCACTTTCCCAAATCCTCTGTGGGTTGTTGCTGTTGCAGGGGACTACATTTCCCAGAAGGACTTGCGAGCACCGGAGAGATCAGACCTGCCTTCCCCAGGTGTCCAGGGCACCGTTTTCCCGCAAGATGGAGATGAAAATTCATGGGACCTGCCGTTCCCCGGGGGCTCTCTTCTTTCCTGTTTCCCCTGGCTGGAGGGAGAATTTGGCCTTTGCTTGTCTGCAGGAAAGGTGAGTTTTGGCTTTCATCCACAGCGTCTGGGCAACAAGAGGGGAGGAGAGGAAATATGCAGGAACAAGAGTGAAAGAGGGAGGGGTGGCCGGTGACCAGGATTAGAGATGTAAAATTTCCGGAAATTTTGAAGCTCGGGAAAAAACCAGTTTTTCCCCCCAGTTTTTTTCAGGAAAAAACGGAAATTTTCGGAAAAATTGAAAAAAAATGCTACATTAGCACTTCTTTTGTCTTTTCTAGATTGAAAGTCATTCTGTTACTATAGGAACATAAAATATGACTATGGACATTTTTACTTGGCATGAAATTATCACAACTAGCATATTAAAAATATAGTGTGACCAAACAGTTATTACAAACGGAATACCTGCCCACATGCAAAAACAAAACTGAAACCTTTTTCTTTTCTCGTGACAATAGCACCTCCTAAAGGAAGAAATGCATCTTGTGCTTGCATTGGAGAGTTCAATTTGTAACCTAGGACTTGCTTGTCAGTGCACAGAAATGATTTGGAAAATATTTGAACACCTTGTCTTAAAATATTTTATTCATCATGTTAAAATAAAACGTTCCATAATCATTTTTTTTCCCTTGTCTTTTCTTTTTTCAATTTTTCCAATTTTTTTGAAAAAAACCAAAAAAGGCTTCAGGAAAAAACCAGAAAAAAAACGCCCCCCCCCCCTAATTTTTCCGGGGTTTTTTCCGGGCCTTCACATCTCTAACCAGGATATCCTGGTCACATCCTGAAAAGACAAGAGTCACTGGAAAAGACAATAAGGCTAGGGAAATAGGAAGCGCCAACAAGCGATGGGTGTACTGTCAAAGAAGCCACAAAGGCCCTCAGTTTGCAAGACCAGAGCAAGGCTCTTAAGGAGAGAACATTTTCGTAGGATCCTCGTAACTCAGAAGTAGGGTTGCCAAATTGAAATTGGCTGGGAGCGGGGGGCTCCCGGCCGGCGTCCTCTTCGTGCGCGCGCCACAAAGAGGAAGAGCCAAGATGCGATGGATGGACTCAGTCAAAGAAGCCACAAAGGCCCTCAGTTTGCAAGATATTAAGGAAAGAACATTTTCGTAGGATTCCCATAACTCAGAAGTGACCTGACACACACTCTCTCTCTCTCTCTCTCACACACACACACACACATGCACACATGTTTATCTTTGCCTTAAGGCGTTTCTCTGACAGAAGTCCAAAATCTGTTCAGATGATGTAGCAGCTGAATTGCAGTTCAAGGACTCAAGGCACAAACTGCCGGTATTCCGCGATGCAGAAATATCCAAAAAGGTCTCTGAGGCCGCTGCTGGGTGTTCCCCCCCCCCCCGCATCTTTCACCCAACAGGCCCCAATGATCACGCGGCCCAGAGCGGATCGGCCTTTGGTTTGTTAGGGGGGAAAAACAGAATGAAAGACAGCTTGACTCGAATGAGGGCAGTTGATGTCCACACCGCTGGATGCAGCCTTTAGAGTAACACAAAGTGTCTCTGTGGTCCACCATGTTTAAAGCAGAAATCTTCTCTCGAGCACTATTTCTGTTTACTTCTGGGATGAAACGTACAAGGTAGTAGAATGTCAGCTATACGGTCTTATCAGTGTTATCGGACGGTGTCTAATTTGCCCTCTTTGGGCCAATGGATTGAGAGGGCGGCGGCGACACAGCTACAGGTCTTTCTGGATGACGCTTCTGTCCTGGATCCATTCCAGTCCGGCTTTCGCCCGGGGCATGGAATGGAGACGGTGTCAGTCGCCCTGACTGACGACCTCCGCAGGCATCTGGATCGAGGTGGCGTTGCAGCACTGTTGTTGTTAGACACTGTTGCGTTTAACACGGTTGACCATCAGTTGCTGACCCGCCGCCTCGC